ATAGCCAATCAGACAAACAAGGGAGAATAAAAATAGCAAAATACCTCTGGTGTTTACAGTTCTGTGATAGTGCCCATGTCAGAACCCAGAAATGTTCTGTGTACTCTAGTCAAGTCTGCCATGGGAATTGTGCTGGGTGTGGAGCTGATCTTGGCCTCCGGATGTGGGGTCTGGGACTGGTCTCTGTTGGTGGAGTTGTCCAGAGGCCAACTGCTGAGTCCTCGCTGCTGCTTCAGACACTTCCACGTTGCTGATCTCACTGCCTGGGCGTTTGTCCCTGGTCTCAGGGTTCTGGTCTGAGGGCCACCAAAGGCATGTGTCAAGTTACAACTTTCTATGTTTAAGTGCCTCAAAGTCTCCCATAGCTAGTGTCATTCATGGTTTATTTATTAAATAAATAAATGTTAATTGATTGATCCAGACATTGGTCTATTGATAGTGCTATAGTAACGGATAAGACACACAAAGACCCCTGCAGTCATGAAGTGTATATTCCAGCAGAGTGACAGAGACACTAGACAAAAATACAACAGAAAATTGCAAAGGGAGAGCTTTGGAAACAAGTAGTCAGAGAAGGGGAGTGAAGATTCAAGTGACAGATGGGGTTTGGAAATTTTAAATAGGTTGACCAATGAAGACTCACTGCAAAGGTTATAATTGAGTAAATACATTAAGATGAGGGAGTGACCATGTGGATATTGGAAAGAACATTCCAGGAGGAGAAAACTGAAAGTGCAAAGGTCCTGAGGCTTGAAGGTACATGGTATATTTGAGAGCAGTTCATGTGGCTGGGAGAGGCTGAGCTAGAAATGAAGAGAGGACAGTGGACTCAGTAAGGTGATGAATGAAAGATGCATGGGATTTTACAAGGTTGTCAAAGAGACTGGCTTTTGTTCTGAATGACTAGGGAACCATTTGAGAGTTTTGGGTAGAAGCATGACAGGATCTGACTTGTGTTTTAAAACGATCAATTTTGGTTACTATCTGAAGCATAGATGAGGCCAAGGGTAGGAATAGGGAGACCCACTAGAAATATAGATGGGATCTGGGCCACTGTGTCCATCATGAGAAGTGGCCAGATCCATTGATACATTGGTCTTAACAAAAGGGAAAAGCCAAGAATTTTAGCAGCTACAGAACTCCTGTGGGGGCTGCTTTACTGTTTGCCATGTACTTTAGTTTTCCTTGTTGTAGGATCCCTTCCTGTGAAAAGATAATATGTCCTATTAAGATGCCAGGCAATTTTTTCACCAATGAAAGAGAGCAGAAACTTTAACTGGTAGCACTTGATTAGTTCTGTCACTTTTCCTTCTGCCACAGACCCAGTGATATTTCAGATAAAGACTGTTGTGTCAGCTTGGCTCCTGGAGCAAAGCTGAGAGGGATGGTAAATGCAAGAGACCTGAAAAGGCTACACGGTGACAAGTGAACTTTTGTTATCGGAAGCAGGTACAATGTTTGACGTGCTTATTACTGCTTCAGAACCCAGCTTATCCTGACTAATACTGATATGTTTGGCAACAACTGAGATGAAGATGTCTCTTAGAGGAGAGTTTGGGATGTGCAGAGACACTAGGAGTACAGCTTAGGTATGTAGGTTGAGGTGTCTATTAAACGTTCCAGTTGCACTCTTAATTAAACACTTAGTTGTATATAATGGGTTGAGATTCCAAGAAGTAGTCTGGGATAAGGATATATATTTTGGAGTCATTACTCTGAGACTGAACAAAATCACCACAAGAGTGGGTAGGTTTGGAACAGGTCCAGGGATAAATTTTTCCACTAACAAATAAGGCTGAGAATAGGCAGCTGTTCAGGCATTCAGTAAATATTTGTACTGTTCTTGATAAAAATAAAAATTTACTTCACCTCTGATTCCAGGTTAAAAGATAAATAGACCAGGAGAGTAGGTTGTACTAAAGGCTTAGATGTGTTCGTATCATGATCTAAGTATTCATTAAAATAGCTGGGTATATTAGACAGTTCCAAATCAATTACTTATTCAATATTTAGCTCAATGTTGCCTTTGTAAATTATTTTTATGCTGGAATATCACCCCATTTACCATGACCCATTGAATTATTGACATTCTTAAGATTTTGGTTAATGTTATTGCAATCACTAATTACTATGTTGTAGAAACCAGACATAGAGGCAGAGGGTATCTAATTAACAAAAAGGTAAATCTATTGCTTATTTTAAGCATTACAGAGAAACTCCTGTTTAATACTTGACAAATGGTGGAAACATAAGTTCAAACAAGAAATATCAAGGGTAAAAGTCAGTTTGAATAATTACAAAAACTTGATAGTAATCGCTCAATTTATATGAAAAAAATTACTGTTTAAGTTCACTCTGATTAAAGATAGGCCATATGACTAAGTAGAAGATATGGTCACTGACTCCAACCTCACTGATTTTGTTAGTCTTAAATTTACATTTGATTCGTTTAAATTTCACACAAATTTCAGGTTAGTGTTTTTCCAAATAATTTCCAGTTAATACAAATCCACATATATTTATAATTTACCATATATGCCATAAATTTAACTGTATGCATGGATTTTGAGGTTGATAATATTCTCTGTGGCAGAAGCTCTTATCCACTGGGTTAGCTTTCTGTCATTATAACAAATACCTGAGACAGTCAACGTATAAAGAAAAAAGATTGGGTTAGCTCACAATTTTGGCTGTTCCAGTTTAGTATTAGGCAGACCTCTTCCGGGGAGGCTGGACCACAGGGGTGGGGACTGTGTGGTGGAGTACGGCCTCATTTCATGGCCAGAAGCAACAGAGAGGAAGGAAGGGGCCCAGGTCTCACAGTTCCCTTTGGGGTTTTGTTCCCAGGGACCTTAGGACTCTCACTAATCCCACTTCTTAGAGATTCTACCGCTTCCCAGTAGTGTCACCCTGGGGACCAAACCTTTAAACACATGGGCCTTTGGGGAACTTTCAAGACCCAAACTGTAGGATTTATCTCCCAACTTCCTTTCTCTCCTTTGAAAAAAGTTTATAAATCTCCTCCTGGTCCTCCAGCACTGAGCAGTGGCCCAGAATATCCAGGAGCCCTCAGAACAGCCCTTGGCACAAGTTATCCCTCTTCCTACTGGTAAAATAGTATCAAGGATCCCAAGTGATGTAAGATGGGGATCTTGGCTCCTTGGTGCCGAGGACAGGGACAGCCAGGCAGGAGAAGGTAGCCCCTGGCCTCCTTAGCAGTAGGCTGATGCTCTGGCTTCAGGAGGCACAGGAATGAGGCGCTCTGCTGAAGCAGGTTGGAGCCCCTGGGCAGATGCACAGTAGGAGAGGTCAGGCACACCAAGAGGTTGGTGCTGCTGAATGGACACGTGTCCTCTGGGTTGGCCGCATGGTCTGGTGGTGGGAAGAATCCAGGGAGTCCCAGGTCTCTAGAAGTCATGTGGGGTCTTTTAAAGGAAGGGTACCCATCTTCTAGCTTGGGGTTGGGGTCAGGGATGGGCCTGTAAAACTCTTCCTTCTGGAGTTAGGTCTCAAGCTTTGCCTACTGTAACCCTAGCACTAAGGAAGCTGAGGCAGGTGAATTGCCATGAGTTCAAGGCCAGCCTGAATTACAGTGAGACCCTATCAGAAGAAGAAGGAGGAGGAGTATGGATGTACTATGTACTATGTAGTATGTACTCCATACTACTAGGAGTAGTATGGAGTAGTAGGATGAGGATGAAGAGGAGGGACTAAAAGGAAGAGGAGGAGGAAGAGGAAGGAGAAGGAGAAGAAAAATATGATAAAGGAAGAGACTGGTAAATCTGACTATATTTTTCTAAAAGTAAGAATTTATTCCGGAATGGGAATGAGGAATAGGAGTAGCTCCTGAGAGACAGGAGGGGTTCCAAATGGGTTGTCTCTCCTTTAACAGAGATGTCTGGTTTTATATTTGCACTTTGCAACTTGGAGTCAAGATTGTATTTTTCCAGACCCAAAGAAACATGAGGTGTGGGTTGGGGAATTTTTGGTGGTGCCTATTAGAATCTTCTTTAAAGAATGTGTTTATGCCTTTCTTTTCTCCTTCTTAGCTTCCTGGGATTCATATGTGATGTCTGGAGCTTTAGCAGCCATGTTACATAATGTGATGAAGGCAGCTCTTGGTACTAACATTAACAAAGAAGGGTTGGAAAATGTGTGGCACTGTGTCCAACAGGGACTGTCAACATTCAGTATTCTTGGCAGAATAAAATCTTGTTTGTGTTGACTACTACTTTCCAGGTCTCTCTTAATTACAACATTTAATTCTTAATGGATAAAGTGAGGATCACCCACTTCCACCTCACCTGTATGGTTTCTTTCTTTCTTTCTTTCTTTCTTTTTTTTGGTACCTGGAATCAAACTCAGGACTTTGTGCTTGCCAGGCAGATGCTTATACCATTGAGCTATATCCCAGCCCCTATATGTCTTTTTAAGCAATTTTCCTCTTATTGATTGCTCTTTTGATCCTTCTGTATTTTTAAATAAGTTCTTAGGAAAAGGAAAACATTTTCATTTTCATTCACAAGTTTTCTAACTGCGTGTCTTGGTCTTATGACAGCAGTGAGGTCTCACATTATAAAGAAAAAGCTCAACAGTAGTTCTAAATTCTAAATTCAGGAGAGAGTGGGGGAGTTGAAAAATCAGCAGGGGAGTTTTCCTAAGATGCACATTCCCAGCTCCACTATCTCTGCAGAAATTCTGATATTCTTCTACCAACTCCCATTTGAGAATCACTTATCTATAGCACATCCGCAAGTTTTTATTTGGTTCCAAATGGCAAAATTTAAACTAATGGTTGAAAACTAATTTAGCCAAGTGAAAAACTGCTTAAAGGGTTAGAAGACATTAAAAACAGAAGTATTAGGTTTTTCATATCTTGAAGTCCATTCAAAGTCACACACCTTTGAAGTTAAACATATTTTGGATTTCCAAAACATATAGTCATAAGCAGCCATACATCTGTCAAACCCCTGCTTTTCCTTTGACTAACTCACTTCTGGTAACATTTATTGAGCATGTGGCATGTGTGTTACCGGGTTAGGCACTACTTGGATTTGCCAATGGCAAAACATCATTATCTCCTGTTTCCATCAAAAGCTCTTCCAGTGCTCTGTGGGAGAAACCAGTGTCTTCTTTCTCCCTGTCTTGGTGGGTGGCCTGCTGATTGGATCCAACTCTGCTCCGTTTGTACTCATGTGTCTAGGCTGTAATTAGACCAAGACGTTAGCATTTTCGTGCTTTGTCTACAACCAGACATGGTGATAGAAGAGAAAAGGCTCAATCATGATGCCTGATCTATTTAATGCAGAAATAGTATGATGGAGATAAAGCAACTTTTATAAATTAAAAACCACGCAAATATAAAACAGGTAAAGTAAATGAACAAACAAACCAAAGAAATTGGGATTACATGTAATAAGGAAATTATCCTATTCTAGATGCGTAGAAGAAATATTGCACGTTTTAGAAAATAAAAAGAAAGTGTACACTGCCTTGTATTATTAGCTCCCAAACTACAAAGGACACCGGGGTTGGAATGCACATTATTACTCATTTGTGTCCAGAGCATTGCTGAACACAGGGCTCTGTGTAAAGCACGTGCCCAGGGAATGTGTATTATTGGTTGACTATTTTCAAAAAATAACCAGGAGGTTGAGGGTACAGCTCAGTGATAGAGTACACACTTACCATGTCCCAGGTCCTGGATCTGATCCTTCCAGAACTTCTAATACTAAAAACAAAAAGTAGAAATTTTGTTTTTGGGTGCCATTAAAAGTTAAATTCAGTTTAATTTTGATTATGCTTTCCATTTAAAAAATGTATAATTTATAGTTCAGCTGTTTAAAGTCAGGGATTTGTTATTACCACATTCAGTACACTTAGAATTCTTCTGTAGATTAGACTTTTCATCCCATTGAGGAGGCTACAAGTAATATGTTTTAAAGAGCTGCTGTAGTTGTCAGTGATCTCTGAAATGCGATCCTTCCTCCACTTTATAGCCAGGCAAATGCCCAGCCTTCCTTTTCATTCTCTCTTGGCTTTGAGTGGGAATGACTGGTGTTATGTCTAGGCTGGCATTTCGTGGGGTTCCTCAAGTTCTCCATCTTCTGTTAACTGCATACAGAGAGTGCTGCATCCCTAGTGGGCAGAAGAACTACAGAATACATTGAGGAATGACTCACCACGCCACTGTGAAGACCGCTTCTGTACGATTGTGTATGTGAGAAATAAATTTCTGTTGCTCTTTGAAACATTCTTTTTATTTTAAAGAGAAAAGAACAAAAACAAAATAACAAAAACAAAGACAAAACAGCACAAAAACTATAGAAATGATACAGAATTTCAAAACAAGATGATAGGAAATCAACAGTGATTGTTGTATTACTTATTGTTATCTTCAAAGTAGTTGCTCAGATTACCAGATATAGGCATGCAAGATGATCAAACAATTAAACATTAACTGTTCCTTTCAATAAACCAATAAAAATTAGTAGTACAATTATCTTAGCTATCTTATGTGTGTGTGTGTGTGTGTGTGTGTGTGTGTATTTCCCTTCCTTCTTTCTTTTCTTCTTTCCCCAATCCCAGTTGTTCTTTTCTATTAAGCAGTTTCTTTTTGCTTTCACAATATCTATTGTACCTTTCAGTTTTATGTACTCTTTCAAGTTCTTACACTAGGGAGACAATATGGTGTTTACACATGTGGGTCTGATTTATTTCACTTATGAGTGTGGTCTCTAGTTGTGTCCATTTACCTAGGAAAGCCTCGAGTTTATCTTTCTTTATAGCTAAGTAATATTCCATTGTATAAAAACACCACATTTTTCTTATCTACTCCTCTGTTGATGGGCATTTAGTTTGTTTCCAAAATTTTGCTATGACAAATTGTGCTGCTATGAACATGGGTACACATATATCTCTGTGGTATGATGTTTTTAATTCTTCTGGGAAAATACAGAGAAGGGGTATCAGATTGAAATAAAGACCATCTATTCCAATTTTCTGTAGGTTTTTATCATGAATATGTGCTGGACTTCATCAAAAGCTTTTTCTGCATCTATTGAGATGATCACATGATTTTTGTCTCTAGCTCTGTTGATATTGTGTGTTACATTTATTGATTTGGGTATGTTGAGCCATCTCTGCATTTCTGGGGTAAATCCCACCTGGTCATGGTGTATAATCTTCTTGATGATTTGTTGAATTCTGTTTGCTATTATCTTACTGAGGATTTTTGCATCTATGTTCATTAGGGAGATTGACATATAGTTCTCTTTTTTGGTTGTATCTTTCTCTGGTTTTGGTATCAGGATAATACTTGCCTCCAGGAAAGAGTTAGGGAATATTGCTTCCCTTTCAATTTCATTAAAGAGTTTGAAAAGTATTGGCATTTAGATCTTCTCTAAATTTCTTGTAGGATTCAGCAGCGAATGCATCTGGACCTGGGCTTTTCTTTGTTGGTAAGTCTGTAATTACATTTCAATCTCATTAACTGATTTGAGTCATTCAGAATTTTTATATCTACCTGATTCACCTTTGGTAATTCATATGTATCTAGGAATCTGTCCATTTCTTCTGTGTTTTTCATCCTATGAGAGTAAAGATTTTCAAAGTAGGTATTGATGATCTTTTCCACAGGTTCTGTAGTGACTTCACCCCAATTATTCCTTAATGCATGAATTTGACTCTTTTCTTTCCTTTTTTTGATATGGTTGGCTAAGCGTTTATCAAGTTTATTTTTTTCAAAGAATCAACTCTTTGATTCATTAATTTTTTGTATTGTTTTCTTTGTTTCTATTGTGTTAATTTCTGCTCTGATCTTTATAATGTCCTCCCTTCTATGGACTTTAGGGTTTCTGTTACTCCTAACTCACTAAAATTTTCAGGCCGGTTACATTTCTTTTTCATTACAAGCTTAGCTTATCGTAACCAGTACCATTTTCAAGTTAGGTATTCATTACTGATAAAATTATCAGTTATTTAGTCATCACAATACTAATACATACTTAAAATAACAGTTTTATATCTATATCTGGTACTGGGCATATATAGTAGATATTATGACACTTTAAATGAAGGGAATAAAAAAATGGAATTTGAGGGTCAAACACAGAGGATAGAATTTGTATCTTGGGGAAAATTCTAGATTTCTGATGCCTTAAAATGTTCCATTTCCCAGACCCATTTTTTCTCCTCAATAAGCCACATAAAGCCAAGAATCTGAGTAGTGGTTTTCACGTCATGAAATGCAGGAGGCTGGAGTACCGCTACTTCCAAAGAAGCCAAATTTAGGGATGAGATCTTATTTTTGAAGTAAGAGTTGCTGTTTCTGGGCCAGTTTAAGAATGTATTTGATTTTTAATTAGTTTTGTCCTATCACAACTTTCTGCTGTTACTAGGCACAAAGCTGTGTGCTTTGTGAATTTTATGTAAAACTTCATTAGTTTTTCTTAAAAACATGTTCAGCTTCCTTTCAGCATTTTGGTTTGGTATACAATTTTTTAAATTCACAAAATTAATAGTTTATGGAATAAATGTATTTATTTGTATATTTAATAGCATATGGAATATCTATATATCTATATAAATCTTTTACATTCACTAGCATGTTCAATAAATTATTATTACAATACATATGTTTCCTCAGTATCTGGGTCTAGCTCATAAAGAATGACTTGGATTATCTGTTCTTCTGTAAAAACTAAGATATAATCTTACAGGAAGAGGTTTGCCTAAATGTATTAAAGGAGAAGCACTGGGCAAAGAAGAGGTGGACAGGCTGGCCAGTTTCAAGACTGCCACAGGTTGGAAGTTTTTGCTTTTATAGAATAATTCCTTTTTACGCAGTAGCAATAGTTGTTCTGGATTTCTTCTTCATTCTCAGTTCTCTTGGCAACCATCCTGTTCCACTGTACCACGCTGGTGCCCTAGTTTTAGAAAATATTCCTACTTTAGTGCCCAGGTCCTGGCCAGTCTTTACTTTCACCATCAGTAGGTGGTACTGACAGGATCAAAACAGTGAGTGTGCAGTACCACTCTGTCCCAGTAGGGGCGATGGCCACACTGTACAGTGCAGAGTTGTACTGTATTTGATTTAACCTGAAATTCCCTTTGTGCCTTCTGTTTAAATTAGTTAGTTCTGCAGACAATGACTCTTTAAACACATATTTATTTTATTTTGAGTGCTTATTTTATTTTATCTACCTATTTTAAATCCATATAACACCTTTATATTGGTCAGTAGATTTCAAATAAATAAAACAGTACATGATCCTGCAAATTCTTAAGTATACAACAAAATTTTTGGTTTATGATACAGACTTTGCAGAATACAGTTCCTAATTCTTAAGATCTGAGGTTATCCTTGCCCTAAAATTTGTTCTTACTCTGATGAACTGTTTGGTTTGATTATGTCAGCACCCATTCTTCTTTGCTCATTTTAAAAAAATTTATTGTTTTATTTTAAAGAAAAGAAAAACAAACAATAAAAACAATGGTATAAAATTTCAAAACAGAATGCAGGAGAGTAACAATGGTTAGTACATTGCCTATTGCTATCTTCAAAGTAGTTGTTCATATTACAAGATATAGCTATGAAAAATGGATCAAACAATATAGGCATAAACCTTTCTTTTCAATGAGGGAATAGAAATTGGTAGTATACCTATCTTAACTATCTTGTGTGTATATATATGTACATATACATATTTTTCCTTTTCCCTTCCTTCTTTTCTCCTTTCCCCCATTCCAGTTTGTTTCCTTTTGCCTTTGCTCATTTTTTGAAAAGGGTATTTGAATGTCCTGTGCTATGACTGCAGTGTTTTTCTCTGCCCTTCAGTTTGCAGCTGAGAGCGAAACTCTTCCTGCAGTGATATTACCCATCACACAAACAGCTCTGGAGGCCCCTTTCCTCCCTCTGCTAACTGATTCAGTATGTACGTAGGGAGTTGTACAGGTGTTCAAGGCTCATTAAATACACAGTAAAACATTGGGAGGGAAGAAGAGGGGTCAAAATCTATCCAGGACCTTTGCAGAAAAACTAAAAGGCAAAAAGGCCAAAGTTTCCTTGTGTGTGTTTGAAAATTTTTTCAATGAAAGAGGACACTGCTTTTTATGTCCTGTGTGTGCAAGTGTTAACAGGATGAGAAACACTTTTTGTTCACATTCTCTTGTAACCTTGAACTGAAAATGTTGAAGTTCTTGTCTTTCTTTTTCATTGCATCCCACAAAAAGGTTATTCCAAATTTACTTGGCAATATTCAGACGAGCTCTTTCCTAATCCTCAAAATAGATTTTGTTTTGAGTGTTTCCCAAAGGTCTTAAAATATGTTCATGAACTGTATATATACTTCATTTGCTCAACTTTGGATTGCAAATTCTTAGAGGAAAAATAAAACTTGAAGAGCAAAGTTTTTAAATATTGTAAATCTGGATGAGTGGAAAAACACATTAAAATATCATCTTTTTCCTAATAAATTGAAAGCAGTATAAATTTATGTACTCTGAACAAGACCTCAACAACACTAAAAGTTTTTGTCGTTCCTGTTGTGACTCATAGTAACTAGTTGATTTTTCAACCATAGACCATTTTTACTTCAATTAAAATTATTCATTGAGTGGGAAATAAAAACATGAAGGGATTCAAAATTCCTTTGTTTGATCATTTTACATGGCAAAGAAACATATTTGATCTTCTGAAATTGTAAGCTCTTTCATTGACTCACTCATCAAATACTTTTGACTTTGTACTGGTGATACAATCGTGGAGGAAATAGACATTACTCCAGTAACCTTGCACACAGCTATATCATCCAAAATTGAGATCTCTATGATGAAGGAGATGCACAGAGGCTTTGAGAGACTTGAGTGAGGCTGAGGAACAGGGCTGAACTTGGTGAAAAAGGAGCCATTGAGCTACTGTGAAGGAATATTGGGAAGCCATATTGGGAAGGAATATTGGGAAGAGGGATAAGCTAGGACAGATGGTATGATGGTCCCAAGATGAGAAAACACAGCATATTTGAGGCCCTGAAAAAATGCTGATGTATCCAGGGCACAGAGGATGAGGGGGAAAGTATCCCTTAGTAGTCAGCTGGCTCTGGATCATAATGGATCTAAGTGATTTTTCCTAATGATTTTGCTTTTTATGCTAAGCCCCAAAGAAGTTCCTAAAGTATTTTAAACAAAGAGGTGACTAGACCATATATATGTGCATTTAGAAATCACTCTTGCTCTACCATGGAGGATAAATTAGAAAGGGTGGTAAATGTGTGTAAGTGATGGTCAGATGGGGGTGATTGGAATGGTTCTGGGGAGAATTGATGGTTATGGGAGGAGAGAGAGAGAGGTATCTATAGAGGGGTTCATTGTATTTCCAGAAGATAAATCAGTAAGAAAGTTTCTGGAGTTTCCATACAGTGAATGAATCTTAGAAACACAGGCAAAAGCTTGGGTCATTATCGATGTGCCCATCTTCCTCGTGTCGAGAGGCAGGTGGCATTTATGTGACATCAGGAGAGGTGGCTGCTGAAGAAGGCAGACAAGTAAGAGGCTATGATGAGATAAAAGTTTCAGTCAGAAACAGGAAAGCCAATGTTATGGCAAGGAGCGGCCAAGCTAAGGTCGGCAGCAACAGCTGGGAGCTCTCCTGGGAAGGCTTGCTGAATAAAGCAACAAAGCGTGACATTCAATGCTAGTTATATATGGGGTGGCTCATGATTTCCAGGCAGCTCTGCTCTTGTCCCAGAGTAATCCAAGAAAGCAAAACCGTCCAAGTCACTTGACTTACCTTTGTGGCAGCTCCATGTATTCCTGAAACGTCTCTCTCCTTCCAGGTTTCGACATCGTTGTCTAGGTTCCTCATCCTTCCCCCGCTAAATGGAAGTTGGTGTTGCAGAAATATTTTGAAATGAGGAGTCAGAAAAAAGTCCAGGACTAGTCCTGCACATTTGGTGACATAATTTTTAGAAGCACAGTCTGTCACAATTAAAATATGCGTAGCAAAATCTACAACCTTGTGCTTTATGAAGATTAGGTAACAGTACTCTGTAAATAGTACCAACAATAATAAAATAATAAACCATAATTTTTGTTGTTGAAATACACTTTTGTTTCACCTTTTTCTTTAATATAGCTCCTTTTTCTGAGATTCCTATTTTTCCATATCCATGGTAGCTTCAGCTACACCTTTATTTGATCCATATTACATACTTCCAGGTGCAAGACACATAGAAGGTGATGGTGATAGAGTGAAGACCTACATTCTCTGACCTCAGAGAATTTGGTATTTGGTAATTCACATAAAAGTGCCAAAGAAATGCTTCCTTTCTAATTTTCCACAAGATTGTTGAGGTGTAGAGAAAGTGCTATGACTAGAGACTGGGCAAGTCTAGTCATTCATGCTGGGACAATTGTGAGCACTGCCAATTCATAGCATTCCCACCAGTCTTTCAACCTATCCTGCTAACCTCTCCTTGATTAATCTGAAATCATTGATGTTATTAACTGCTAAAGAAGTGTCTCATTGATTGTCAGGGTGGATTCTCTAACCTTGCGATCAAAACTTGCTGTGGTGTGGTTTCACCTCACTTCTCCAACCTTTCTGTCTCTTATTCTTTCTAATGTTTCTAAGCACAAACACTATTGGCCTTCTGAGAGAGAATGCTATTTGTTCTACCACAATGTCTCAAGAATGACCAAAAATTTAATTACACTGAGCGCATAAACTAAATACCAGCAGAATCCTATAGGGACGATGACAAAGGCATACTGTCCACAAATTTTAGAGAGGAGACTGCCCCTGGGTAAGAACTCCTATGTCTCCATCTCTAACAAAGAACAACATATATTTACTATATATGCACTACTCTGTTGATTTTTTATTTAGCTTATACAAAAACTTTGAGTTAGGTGTTGTATTTCTGCTTTGATATATGAAAAATCCCTTTGGCGCCAGGAAAAGACATACCCAGTAGTCCTGAGCAATTGGGAGAAAGAGAGCTGGCTCAAAATGCAATGCATACTTTTGCATTTCCTTCTAACTAGGTTACTTCCTATTCTCTAATATGTTTTTTATTTATTTATTTATTTTTCCAATACTGGGAATCAAACTCATGACCTTGTGCTTGCCAGGCAGGCACTGTGCCGCTGAGCTAAATCCCCAGCCTCTCTCTAATATGTTTTATTTACCCTGATTTTCTTCAATTTGTTAATTTTACCCGAAACACCTCCCACATATTGTGTTGCCATGGGAAGTGAATAAGAATGTATAAAATATGGAACAACTGTAAGGCATAATTACCAGAACCTACTAGTACTAAAATCAGTTCAGTATTAGAGCTTCAAACACACAAACAGTTTTCAATGCTGACTCGAGCTTTTGCCTGGAAGTCTAGTCCTGCACTGTGTCTTTGTGCACATACCTGGGGCTGGTGTCCATTAAATGGATTTAATTAGACTTCCTAATTTTCTTGTACTATTCAGGTTAATTCAGAGGTTGAAAAAACACCAACCTACAGGGACATCTTCAATTGATACTCACTAGTAAGATCCTATATTAGTTGAGTTTATACAGTTACTACTAGGAAAAGAATAGGCTCTTATCATGATCCTCACTCATAATAATTTCACTAGGCCTCTGAACATTTCATTATAACTTTACAAAACTGTTATGTTAATGAAACTGGCTACCCTCCATATAGTACCTAAATACTCACCTATCCATCTACTCATCCATCTGTCCATTCATCCATCCATCTATCCTCTCATTATCCACCAGTTGGTCACTTGATACTTGTAAAGGCCATCTCTCTATCTTTGCTATGGTACAAATGGGGTGATAATGAGTAAGAAGACATACTTTCCCTCCTTAAGAATGTTACAGTCAAGGAAGTCAGAGAGGAATGTAACAAATAAAATTAACACAGTTATCACATCTATTATAGAAGCATGTATAAACTCTTAGTGGATCTTTTGGCCTGTGATTGAGTTGAGGACAATTAATATATTTAAAGGAAATGGTAGAAAGGAGCTTGCTTTGTCTAATGAAATAAAAGAAAGTGGAATAATTTTTTGTTTAAGTTAGTTGTATGAAGTCAGCAGAAACCTTGCACACAAGCAAGCCTATCCTCCTTCTTGACAAAATTTGTCTACAGTTCTGATTATTCCCTAGATGGGCTCACAAAACTCACTAAAGCTTTACAATAATCATTTATTATAGAGAAAAGGTACAAATTAAAATTGAGCAAAGAAGAGACAGCTAAGGCAGATTCCAGGCATTTATCCTGGATTTTCTTACTGTCCGGTCACCATGGAGTCAGGACAGTGCTACCCTCCCAATAAAAATGTGCAACAGTATGCATAGACTATTGCCTTCCAGGGAAACTCACTAACATTTTATTTTTTTTATTTTAAAAAATAAAGGAAGGAAAACATATTAACAGACAACCATCCATTTACAAAATAGCATAAGAACAATCCAAGGAAACTCACTAATGTCAAGACTTTTTACTGGGGCGTCATGATGTGGATGTGACTCACTGTCCATATGGTTGATCGCATCTTCAGGTATCCACTGATAGCATGCAATCCATAGTTTTCACTCTAAATTACATTGTTACTATCAACTCAGTTTTAGCCCAAGACTCTCTAGTGTGGCCAATATGCCTTTTAAATTACACTGCTAGACTCCTTAGTGTGACTGAAGACCCTGGGGTAAACAAAAATACTTCAACTGGGCTTAAGATTCTAAGGACCTAAATATTCTCTCCAAGTAGTCAAGTGCAAACGCCAGACCTCTCTTTTACCAAGGTTACTGTAAATCCATGTATAATGTTGTCCAACTTGAATACTTTCACAATTATAGTAACTTTTAACATTTATTGTCTGTCCATCTAATAATCATCTAAATGAATTTTGAGGATAAAGTGATTAAGATGAATATAAAGGATTATCAGATGTATTATTTAGGATTTTAGTTGCAAAGAATAAAATCCTAGTGGCTTTGGTTTAAACAGAAAAGGAGAATTTATTATGAGGATAAGGAACAGTTCATGAAATTCAACGTCAAGAATTCTTTGTTTCTCCTCTTCCTGCTTATTTCTTTCCCTAGTCCAGAAGGAAGAACTTGGTCACTCCACAGTTCAGAATAACCATGATTTAGGTTGAGTAAAGGAAATACTAATTATTTCTCTTATGGTTCTGACTCCAAATTTCTGTCATGAGGAATTTGATGGTCTTAAGTTGGAGGAACTATTTAGCTCTGGGCCAATAAACTATGACTGGTGGAGTTGGACCACAAAGTGCCAACTTGTGACAGGGAGCTCAGGGAAATATGGCAGGGAAAGACCCCACTAGATATGAACTACAGGGATTTAAACCCACCTTATGAGCAGATCACTCATGCACTGTCATGGAAGAAAAGGGCTCATGTGTAGCTAACTGGAAGACAAGCTACACTAATGGGTAAAACCTTGGATTTTAAGAGGCTGCTTGTGTTCTACTCTTTATTTGGCCACATATTTATAATATTATGCTATGTCAGATATGCACTGGAATGAGAAAGACATGACATTTGGATTCAGAGGAACCACATCTTGGCTTCTGAATGGTGTCTGAGTTAATTCTCTTGTTTTGGGCTTCGTTAACTTATTTATCAAACAGGGAAATTCCCAACTCATGAGGTTGTACTGACTAACAAATGAGCTCGTCTGTTTGGAAGTACTTCCTAAAAAGCTGAGCAAACATCAGTTATTGTCTTTTGGACATACTTTTTTTGCTTCGTCCAAAGATTTTATGATTTATATAATTAAGAGAAACTGTATTTAAAGAGTCTGCACATTTTGAACCCAGAGTGATATGTGTGTGTGTGTGTTACTGGGGATAGAATCTAGGATTCCGGGAATGCTCTAACAGTGAAGTACATTCCCAGATCATTTTATTTTATTTTATTTTTAGACAGGGTCTTTCTAAATTTCCCAGGCTCACCTTGAACTTTGCAGTCCTCCTGTCTCACCCTAACTAGGATTACAGGGATGAGGTATCATGCCCAACTTTAAGCCCTGAAATTCCTATGGACCAGAGTGTATAGATTCATTATAAAATTAAAAAAAATGTTTCTCAAGGAACAACAATACTTATTCAAAGACATCTGATGACTGTTTCAATATGAAAGAGAGATGGTCAGGGATAACACAATATATTTTGATAATATTTTAAAGCCTCAGTATTAATTTGATTAAAAGATTAAATTCTCATGCCATGCAAATAATTATGTTTTTATTGAAAAAAGAAAAAGGCAAATCTGTATAATACTATGATTCAGCAGGTACTTCTTTAATAGTTTTTTTTTTTTGGTGTATACAGAATTTAGGCAGAATTTATTTAGCAAGCACTAAATTCCTATACTGAAGAGATTCATATTTCCTTGTTTCTAAGGTCACAAATGTGACATAATCTTTTATTTCACTTGGTGGTATATAATATTTAACTTAAATAACTATAAGCACTGGATCTACCTTAAAAGAAAGTTCTACCTCCTTCTCAGATTTCTCCTCACAGGAGAACTCCAACATCCAACATAGAATTTGTACACAGTTCAGTAGTCCTGTCCTACTTACTGTTGTCCCACTGAGACAGCAGGAGAGCTTAAGGATCTCATTCCATGGCTGCTGCAGCAATATAATGTTTTGTTTTTTCAAGTAGTATCCTCACTGAAGAGAAATCCTTCAGCAGTTGTGTCACCACTGCTATTGCTAGCATTCCAGGTTTCTCCAGGGGTAAGTGTGAAGAAGGAGGTCTAGCTCTCTGTACTCCTCTCCCCTGTCTTGGCTTCAAGTTGGCATGATCAGTTTCTCTTGGGCAGATCTGGAGGGCCAA